GTATCTACCCAATTCACACATGTCTAAAATGCCTATTTCACACAATAGTTCATTTAACTCCATTTTTATCAATACTTTACCAAATCATTTCCCATTTCATTTCTTGGAAAATAGATCAATATTCCATCAATAATTTATCATCATAATCCATGAAAAACATGATTTAGGCATTTAGGTAATCTTATGCTTAACCTACAAGTTGTAAGCAACTAGATGTCGATCCTCACCTCATATGAGCTTTAAAACTTTCCTTCTCAATCCAATGACCAAAGCCTTGGCCAAAGAAGCTTGAGAACTGATTCCTTGCTTAGAAATGAGTGTTAAACAGCCCCCTAAAAGTGCTAGCTCAACCCCTAATCGTTGGTACGAAAACAGCCCCTAGAATGGGTGTTTTCCGGCTAACTCGTTTCCTAGTTTTCCAAGATTTCCTCTAGGTTAGTATCTAACCTTTACATCAATAAAATAACTTAATAGGGACACATTATACACTTAGAGTAGTGTATAATAGTTCCACCAATCTCTCATATCATTTGGAAAATGAAGGGAAAGGTTTTGGGGTTAAAACTTACTTTAGAAAATTAGATCCGTTTCTGCGAGGTTGTGTTTTTCTCGGACAATTTGGAAGCCTTACACTACTCCGATTGATGCAAACCAGACCTTCACGGATTCCTCGTCTCGAGAGATTTTTTTTGGTATCTTACAAGCCTTGATTGGATTGTTATAACTCGAGATATAAACCAAACCGCCTCAGCACTCTCACTGCTCGAGTTTACAGAAAGCAGTTCACTCCAGCTCTATTTTTGTATGATAAACTCTCCCTTCTCGAACAGAGACCACTCAAATAAGAAACTAGACTTCAAAAGCTATCCAAGGACACCTCATTCACCTTATTTGGTCGAGTATAACATCACTCATGGAGGGAGACAACCAGCACCATCCCTTTGTGCGAAAATAGACTAGGTGGGGTTCCCTCTTACTTCCTTTGTCAAGTCCAGCCCCTAAAGTCAGCTATGGCAGCCTCCTAACATTATTTTTCTTGTCTTGCAGGTGGAAGGAAAAGATGGGGCGCAGCATGTTGTTCCCCAATTATTTTGGGAGCAAAATATTAACTAAAACATCCAAAAATGGAAGAATGGGTCCTATTGTTTAATCTTTTGTCAAAGATGTCTTTTTTTTTGTACTCATTGTAATTTATATAGACCAAGTCAACTCCATTCATCACATTATTGATCTCCAATATGTGTAGGTTCATCACAATAATTTACTTGATGGATATCATAGAAGGAAAATCTTACTCCCATTATTTAGCTCAATAATGTCAAAGATGGGCTATAGGCATTTGTATTCCTCTCTAATCATTATATCACTTATTTTGACATTTGTCATACATATTATTGGACTACTATCCGTGTGGGTCACTCCCGAGTGGGTCTAGGATGCCATTCTCGAATACTTGCTATTTTTAGCAGGTTGGGCTCAAAATAACGTTTGGGCCGTTCGGTCTTCCTCAAATTGTCTTGAAAGATTATGTATCACTATTTAGATAATGTTGGGCTCTTTTATTTATTAATAAGTCCCAAATAGTATTTGCATGCCCGACACTAATATACGAGTTCGAACAGTACAATACTCGATCATTAATTACGTAAAACATTAATCGTTTTACAATTGTTTGGGAATCAGAAATCCAATACATAAACTTTAAATAATTAAATCAAATTTTCAAGGACGTTCGGGTGCGGTGTCACAGAAGGTCAGTTTGCAAACAAGTAGCTTTTTCTAATGACGAATCCATGGCTCTTAGCATAAGCTTCATAAAATTTAAAAGCATGCTCCTCACTACCAAACTCTAGACCTCTAATGTCATCACATGTCAAACTAATTATCATCTTATGGTGACAGTGTGTTTCGTCATTTCCTTCGACAACATTTTCAGCATCACTATAATCAACTTTACTTTGGTTTTCGGCAGAAGAAACATCATCATCAGAACTTAAGTGATTTTCATCATCCAAAAAACTCATTGAATCATTAAGAGAAACATCCATCTGCATTTTGCCACAAAGACATTACAATACCTACTGAAAAAGTCACTGGATCTGATCACCAGTATGTTAGACTGGAAAAACTAATAATGATTAACTACTTGGTCTTAGTGTTCGCAATTCATAGGCAAAAAGGAAAGAAAGAAAATGCATTTTTTACATCATATCTAGAAAACGAAATAACGACGGTAAACTGTTAGGAATGAAAGGTAAACAAACGGGTGTCAAAATACACAAAATATTTTTTTCCCTAAACAAAAATTGGTGTTTTCGTTTTCTTGGTGCAGCTATACTCTAACCACCACAAACTTAAACTAAAGGGAAGTCAACCTCTTTATTTATAAAGTTTTAAATAATGAGTTTAAGTTTCATGATTGAATCTAATAAAGTAATAGAGAGCAAGATCATAAAGCTAGAAAAGCACTATAGCTTTTGATCAAATTGAAATATATTTTCAAAAAATTGACACAACCCTTAATCATTTTGTAATATTGACCATTTATTTAACATTTTTATATGCAATCGCTAAAAAGTAAGCTCACCTGAAATACTAAAACCTAATATTCTATTTCTTAACCGTTTTTAACATGGGGTCCAGGCATAGTTTCAATAGCTCACATGAGATATTATAATATAAAAATAACTACCGATGGAACACATGAATACCTAGTCTAAGTTTATAAATTCTATAAGGAAATACATTAACTTTTATTTAGCAAATATAGAGAAAACTTAATAAATTTCCCAGGGATAGAAGATTTAAGACAAACAAACTCTATGACTAATTTCTTTGTCTGAAAAAAAATGCAGTTGTATTACACTACAAATAGCTATTTAGTCAGCGGGGAAAAAAATGTATGGTGTCTACACTAACAATTAAAAAAGAAAGCCCTCTAAATTTGAAAAAAAAAAAAAAAAAAAAAACTTAGGCACATATTCTTTACTTTAAATAGAAATGACAAATATTTCTAGGACATCACAGATGGAGTTTATATCTAGACGGTGGCATCAGCTCAGCTTCTTCCTGGTAAGCAACTGATCAAATACTCCCTTCCCATTCACGAAATGACCCTTAGCTTAGCTCTTCTGCTACAAACATCCCAGGCCTCAACCATTGCCCTTCCCCTTTCCCTTCTTCCCATAACAATTAACTAACTGAACATATAGATTGATCGGCACGAGTTTTATTTCACCAAGGAATGATTTCCAATTCTTTTGATTTTCATATAAGATTTATAGAAATTCAAGGTATCTAGTTCTGAATTGAGATCCCAAAAGTACATAAAGAAATTCAAATGTTTTTAAATATAATCACTCATTATACACGTGTTTTTGATGTCCTTATGCGTATAATATGCACAAAAACATATATATACCGTAGTATATATTTTTGTATCACACTAAAAACAATTCTCTTGCCATTCTCACATGCACAATTGTAAAAACATGCGTAAATAGGAATAAAATTAAACTGAATATAATGAGAAGAATATTGATTCTGCCTTGATAGTTTTGCACTACTTACATGATGTAGGGCTGCACAAGAATAACCCGAACCCGCATAACCCGCCCGACCCAACCCTACCCGACCCTATTTAATTGGGTATTTGAATTTTAAAAATATTCATGGGTTAAATATGTTTGAACCCGCACCTAATGGGTAGGGTTGCAAAATTAAAATCTCAAACCCGATAGTACCCGACCCGGCCGAAGTTCATTTTACTATTATTATGCTACAATGTTTTCTTGGATAATTTCACTTTAAGATCAATGTGCTCTATCTAGGACTTTATGATATTAGAATTATAATTAAACATTTATCATTTTGACTAGGTGATTATTATATATTTACTTTTCCTTCTAAATGAACTTCCTTTACAGAAGGATGTTTTAATACTATTACCTAATGTTTTTGCTTATAAAAGATATGGGTACTTGTATTTGTTTGTGTGTTTTGGAACAAGTTAATCGAGTTTTAAATTGGTTACATTAGAGCATCTTCAATGGTACAATGTGCACGGTGCACACGTGGCATGAGAGATGACCACATAAATATTAGTAAATAAATTATTTCTCTTCTTATTTGAATGATTTTATACAGTTTTGGTAAGTTTTTCTCCACAATGTCAAGGAGACCGTCTAATGTTGACATTATTGTTGACATTGCAGGGAAAAACTTACCAAAATTGTATAAAATCATTCAAATAAGGAGAGAAATAATTTATTTGCTAATAATTATGTGGCTATCACTCATGCCACATGTGCACCGTGGACATTATAGCATTGGAGATGTTCTTAATTTCTCACGTGAAAGATGCAACCCGAAGTGATTTTTTTCCCAATACCCGACCCTATCCGACCCGTTCATGCATGGTTTACCAACTTATTTTGCGTACCGCGGGTTGGTTAATAGCCAACCCGAACCAATTGAGTAGGCCCCAGAAATATAACAAACCCGACCCGCTCGATGTGCATGTAAGTTACATCCGTATATATACAAGCATTAGCTTCCAAATATTCTAGAAGAAGATAATACACTTGCCTAAGATAAATACATACGTACGGCACTAATTTTGGACTATCCTAAATTAATATTAGGAGTTTCACAAAACAGATGTCCTATTTATGATAATAATCTCAACACACCCCTCAAGATGGAGCGTGAGGATCACGAACATCCATCTTGGAGAGTAAGCAAAGAAATGTATCAGCTCCCAGGGCTTTAGCGAATATATCAGCAAGCTGTTCATATGAGCTTTTATGCATAGGTTGGATTGTCCCAGCTTGAACATGGTCCAGTAAAAAATGACAATCAATTTTAATGTGCTTTGTTCTTTCATGAAAGACAGGATTAGAAGCTAAATGGAGTGCGGCTTGATTATCACAGAAAAGTCTAGCAGGACCAGTGTGGACATCCAGTGAGTGAAGTAAACTTTTAAGCCAAATGAGCTCACTGGTTAATGTAGCCATAGAGCGATACTCAGCTTCAGCCGATGAGCGAGACACCGTGAGCTGTTTTTTCATACGCCATGAGATAGGTGAGTGACCAAGTGTAACAAAATAACCAGAAACTGAACGACGTGTCAAGGGACAACTTGCCCAATCAGGGTCACAATAGCCAGTCAAAGTAAAAGTAGAGTCACTGCGTAAAAGAATGCCTTGACCAGGATGTCCTTTCAAATATCGCAAGACGCGCAGAGCTGCTTCCCAATGGGCTTGACGAGGATTCTGCATAAATTGAGATAAGATATGCACTGAGTAGCAAATATCAGGTCGTGTGAGAGTAAGGTAGATGAGCTTCCCAATCAAGCGGCGGTAGCGATCTGGATCAGCACAGAAGGTACCCTCATCAAGCTGTAAACGATGATTTTGTACCATAGGAAATGACATCGGATGAGCACCACTAAGACCGGCTTCGGTGAGAATGTCAAGGACGTACTTACGTTGAGAGAGGAAAATGCCAGTAGAGTTGCGAGCTACCTCGATCCCCAAAAAATACTTCATCTTACCAAGATCCTTGATAGGAAATGAACGCCTAAGAAAAGACTTAAAGTCACGAATCATATCAGAGTTATTCCCGGTAATAAGCAAGTCATCCACATAAATTAGAACACAAAGAATAGAAGCATAGCGTTTCAAGGTAAAGAGTGAATAATCAGCATAAGATTGATGAAAGCCATATTGTTTGAGAGTGGTAGTAAGTTTGGAAAACCAACGCCTGGGCGCTTGACGAAGTCCATAGAGCAAGCGTTGCAGGCGACACACCTTTCCGGAAGAATAAGAAAACTCGGGTGGAGGATACATGTACACCTCTTTATTCAAGTCCCCATGTAGAAAAGCATTATCAACATCCATCTGATGTAATTCTCAATGTCGACTGTCGAGATGCAGCAACTGCAAGTATCATACGTACCGTGACCATTTTAGCCACCGGTGCAAACGTGTCATGATAATCTATCCCTTCAGTTTGTCGATTTCCGCACACGACAAGACGAGCCTTGTACCGTTCTATCGATCCATCACTCTTATGTTTAATCTTATACACCCACTTACAATGAATGACTTTCTTCCCACCAGGTAATTTTTGAACAGACCATGTGCCATTTTTTTCTAGGGCGTTAATTTCCCGTGTCATGGCCTCACGCCATTTGGGGTCTTGGACAGCTTCCCGGTAAGTACTAGGCTCGACATGTGCCGATATCGCTGCTAGAAATGCCCTCTGCTGCACTGAAAAACGTTTATAATTTATATAACAAGATAATGGATACGGAGTACCTGAGTCAACTAACGAAGTGGGGTCAACAGGAGTGGGGTCAGTTTTCACAGTATTAAGTCGAACATAATTATCATGCCAAGAAGGTGGTTGAGTTTCTGGTTATTTTGTTACACTTGACACGGTTGTGCTTGTGCGATGGTATGTCCATCCACGTTATGTGCTTGTACTTGCTCGACCAGTGAGGTGTCCGTCACATGAATATCTACATACTATTTGGAGTTTCCTGTGGAGTATTGTATTTTTATTTAAAAAACATTTTAATTCAAACAAAAAGAGAGAATTTAGTACACAATTGATTTAAAGATTTCTAAAATGATGAGTAGTAGACCACTAATCATCCTCAGAACATCAAGATTGCAGATTTTACATCTCTCGTTAGTGATCATCTCCCTACGAGTTGGGGTTTCGTTCCTTCACTTTCATCATCGACAAATAGCGGCCGTCGGTCGATTTTGGTCGTGCAAGTAGGCTTGGGACCAGGGATGCGCTTTGGTGATCAAGGCTCGATTTCTACTGTTGTTTCTGGTCGAAGGTCGAGTGTTGACAAAGAACAAGCGGATAAGCTGTGTCGGAGCTTGGGTTTGATTCAACAATCAAGTGATATCAATGGAGGCTATCATCAATCAATACAAAAACATGGCTATTGAGGCGGATGAGCAGCAGGCGCGTCCCCCTCCCGAGCCGCCGCCATGAAGTGCAAGTGAGTCTAGGGTTTGCAAGAAGATGAGTGAACTCTCTTTTAATTATGTTCTATTCCACTTGTGTTTTTCTTTCGAATTGCATGTTGTTTTGGACGTGTTGTTATTTCCTAGGAGAGAAATTCTAGAATGTAAGTCAGGTGATGAGAAGTCTGGTTTGTTTGTCATTGGCTCAGTTAAGCTCATTACAAGATCAACGAATATTATTGCTTCTACAGAGGTGATAGATTCTAAATCTGGTTCAAGGACGTACGGCAAAAGGCTTATCATTTAGTTTCTTGTTTTTCCAATGATTGTATTATCATGTGACGAACGTTTTGTTGATTTAATATATTTGTTGGTTTGACAATAAAAAATGATGAGTAGTAGATGTTTTTCAAGAATTTCATATACAAAGATTATGTCACCTCCATCATTTTTTTGTATGAGTAACTGAGTAAGCATTGATCAAGTTGAAAGAAAGATGACTGAACCATATCTGAGATCGCCCATCGACCATGATGTCCATGTATCATTGAGAAAGATAAAATAACTCTGGAGAAAATTACAGAAAACAGTGTCATTGTTCAATTTTTTATAGCAAAATGTGCTCAATGCATAACTTAACAAAATTTTCCTGTGCCTCATCCTACATTAAAAGCTGCATCAAAACCAGTCAAATGCTCACATTAATACCCCTTCAACATTGTTAAGAGCCTTCTTGGCAATCTTAAATTTACCGGCCAAAGACTTCTTACCACCAGATAGAACATACTCTCTTATAAATATGACGATCCCATTACAAAGGGTTTCATACTCCGGCGAAGCTAACCGACTGAAGATGTTCCATACAAGTTCATCTGGGAACTCGAAGATGGCCTCAAAAAGCATCCGGAAGTGCATAATCTTCTTAGGGGTTAATAATGTAATATCACCCAGATCGACCGCCTTCAGGACAGAAAGAGAAAGGGTAAAAGAGGAAAGCATCTCCGCAACGAATTTAGAGAGGTGCATTGATCTCATCAGCTGCATAGACTCCAATTCCTTGAAATGGTCCCAAAGGCAATACTGCATTACAAAATAAATGTGTGACGACTATACGTCCTACATGAAACATATTAAAGTGCGGGTTTGGTGGCCAGTTAGGGCTTATTCTGCTTTTCAACGAAATGAACCGAATATGGTGCATAAGTAGCTCTTTTACTTGGCAATATGAAATATATTCAAGGGCCATTTGGTAGCCATATTTTGGGCTCACTCTGCTTATCAGTAAAATTCACAGAATAAGCCGAATAACTAGGTTTTGACTTGCTTGGCTGAAAGTTGAAACACATGTTATCAAACAACTTTCCTTTAATAGAATTCACAGCAAAAGAGCCCTCACCAAATGGCACCAAAATCTATATATGTTATCATTGTTCTCGGTTTCTCACCATACCTGCAGAGTGAACTTGTGGTTTTTATTGTGGCTGCATAACTTAGATGCTAATGCACAGTAATACTTATTGAATGCCTTCTCCTGCAAGCAGCACTCCACAAGAACACGCATGATCTCCCTATCCTGCACAGTAGAATGTTGAGAAGCTAAATCGGTTAGCTATGACAATGTTTAATTCACGAGTTGCTAGATTATCTTATGTAATAGGGCTATTGCAGAATATGGTTTAGGAAAATAGGAGCTTACCTTAAAGGCCAGGTAAAATTAGACTACCGAGTTTATCCTTAACAATTTACAATATTCCTTAGGGTCCTAAAATGTTATATTCTGATTTCTTTTTGTACGCATATTAAGGAAACAAATGACACATTTGGTTAGCTTTGCAATTTTCCTTCCAAAAGTTGGTTAAGTGGTTAATTTTTATTAAAAAATTGCACAAATTGTCCAAATGCCAAATCAGAAAATGGTAAACCAGAAAGGGAAAAAGGTAGAGTTCAAAAAAGAAACTGGATATAATCGTTGGACAAACCAAAAAGGATACTGGGCACACAAAACAGGACATATGGAGTACCTAAAGTGATCCTACATTCTGCGAACAAAATTTCCACCAAGTCGTTTTAGGCCTGGGACCGGTTCGGTTCTGGTCAAAATTCATTGGAACCGTTTTAAAAAATGTACTCCCTCCGTCCCATTGGAGTTTGCCATGTTTGACTAAAACTAGATTTAAGGAAATGAAAAGAGAGGCTTTGACCAGACACTTATACCCCTCTCTTAAAGTTATGCGGACGGAACAAGTAAAAACAAGTGGAGATTTAAAATGATTACAAGAGGAAATGAGAGGCTGACAAAAAGCAATAAAGCAGTGAACTGTACATGGCTGCTAGCATTGTACGAAGCAATAAAGCAGTGAACTTGTTCTTCCTGAGCATGGGGAACTTCTTCATCTTCTTCGCAGGTCAATTGTTATCTATTTCTTTTGTCTTCTTCTCCGGATGTGGAATTTTGCAAGTCACCGTTGTTATCTATTTCCTTTGTCTTCTTCTCCGGATCTGGAATTTCGCAGGTCTTGTTCGTAGTGTGATTGCGGTCACCCATCACCAACTTCGTATTTTGCAAACCTTCTTCGTAGGTCATGTAGATCGTAGAAATAAAGATTGAACAAAGAGAAACGGAAAATAAAGGTGAGGTCTGTGAGGAGAGATAAGAAAGTAAAGGAAAAGATGCCTGACAAGGGGGTTGGGTGGGTTTCAATGCACAGGCAGATATGCGTCGGCGATAGTTTTAAAGTTTAGGGTAGTAAAGTCTTTTACCATACTTTTGTGTGTTGAAAAAGGTAATTGGCAAAGTTTTTTGGGACAAAATAAAAAGGGAATATGGCAAAGTCCAACGGGACGGAGGGAGTATTTTTTAAAATCGCTTCGGTTCTATACAAAAATAATTGGAACCGTTATAGAACCAAACAAGGTGTAAACGGTTCGGTTCTGGACTTTTTTCGGTTCCTTAAAATAGTGTACTATTTCTAAAATGAACCCAATATAATTTATGTTACATAAAAACAAAGTTCACATCATTATAAATACAAATTTTGTCAAACATAGCCATTATATTATATCATATGAACATCCAATTGGCCATCCAATTGTAGTGTTCAGTGTGTGTTAATAACTACTTGTGTCATTTATGTAGTGTATCTTACGAACTACTTATGTCATTTATACAGTGTGTGCTAAGAATTGCTCCTCACTGTTTGTCAAACTTCAAGGATCAGCCTAGTGGTTTCGTTTCTTAATACTTGGCCCACATATGTCGTTTGCATTTGATTAGGATATTGCTATTATTATGTGCCTTTTCCCCCTAAAGATGTTCAAATACATAATGTGTAAATCAATAAAAATTTCATTTGATTTAGTGGATGGACTTAATTGCTCTCCAGTTTAAGTATAATGAAAGAACAAATAATATTAGTAAAGTTACCAGAAACAACATTCATTTAAAGATGAGCTAAAATAACAAATATAATACAAATAAATAATAAATAAAATGGTGGAGAAATATAATATTCCAACAAAGTTATCTTTTTTAGAGAGAATGCCCATTTCAAAAACTTATAAACAGGAGTAATCACCCACTACATTAAATCTATTTCAAGATGAACAAAAGTAATACTCTGTAATCAATTATACCAAAGATTAGATAAAGTTCAAACTGAAAATAACTCCAACTGCTTTCAGACATTATATTCCAGAGATTAGACGATATTATCATCTCGCATAGAGATGATTACAATAAGAACCCATAATAGGAATAAATGAGAACCTGGATGTTTTCTAGATGAAGAGATGGAACACGATTTAGAGGTTCAATGTCAAAGCTTAGAACTTGGAAGGCTGGAAGAGTATATATCATTCAATCATGTGGAAAAGCTGAGATGAAGAAATCAAGAAGCCGAATTCACAGTAGCAATGGCCGCAGATTGGTCGTGTGATTCTTTGGGAAGAGTTAGAAGACTTGCTATGAGGTTAGTGGTTAAAACTAAAAGTGAATTTTAAATCTTTTTGTTTTCCAGTGGGCCGGTCCAGCTTAATAACCATATGTGCGAATGAACCTCAATGAAAACTAGGGAATATATGTTCGGTTCCTGGAAGTTAGTATTGGTTAGGAACCGAACCGAAAAGTAGGCAAGTCCAAAAATTTAGGAACCGGACCAAACCGGTTATTTCGGTTCGGTTCGGCTCGGTTTTCCCGGTTTTGCGGTTCTAAGTCCCAGGCCTAAGTCGTTTGGTTCTCAGAATGTGAAACTCCACTACCTAAGTTGCCAGATTGCCAAGGACAAAGGTAATCCTTAAAATAACTAGGAAGATGAAGGTAATGTTAGATTACCAAATCACCAGAACCAAAAAAGGTCGTGTTACTACATTACATAGATACTCCCATAAGGAAGAGGCAACAAATTGAGGAATCCTAACCTGCTTCCCAGGCAAGTCCAATCTCAAAAGCTTCTCAAATGCATCAATGTAATCCACTCCGCTCATAATTACACAAAATATTGCTCTCCTTCCTTCTGTGTTCATCCTCTGTTCAGCAGCAAGCTGTAGCATTTTTTTAGCCTCAAGAACCTCCATATCAATTGATTGTGCAACATCCTGAACATTCTTTTGAACGGAATTTACATTCACGTCCCCAGACAACCACCACTGACCTTTTTTATCTGGGTCGATAAGCTTGCACCACTTTAATCCCCGAAGTAGAATATCATCAACCCTCAGCTGTAAAATGATATGATATAAAATGCAGAGGTTAAATTAGAAGTACAAATTATAAATTTATGGGATGGAGTTCAGTCATTAACACATATACACAATGCCTTGACATAAGACATTGTACGGTTGCACCCATGAATAATTCTACTTGTACATGTTTTAAGTACATTTATTGTGTGCATTCCTACATGGCCTTGACATAAGACATTGTACGGTTGCACGCATGAATAATTCTACTTGTACATGTTTTAAGTGCATTTATTGTGTGCATTCCTACATGGCACATGGTTATTGGGTGATGATAAGACCCTTAAGCATGCAGCAAGCTGAAGCTAAAGACTATATTGTCTAGATTTGAGGCTATTGTAATAACTAGGGGTTGATGAACTTAAAATGCTAAATGAAAGGAGTAGATCTGTTGGGTAAAAAAACATAAAGTAATGAGTTCAAAAATGCATGTTTACGTTTAAGAGCATCTATTTGATTTTTGTACAC